TTATTAAATCTGGAGATCATAGATTTAAATATAAATCTGTTCAAGAACTTATTGATTCCGCTACTGTACCTAATAAAATTTATAAATATCCTGTGAATGATATGACTGGTACATATCAAAGATCGATGATAAGTGCTAGACTTGGTGTTAGTTCAACCTCATTAAGGTCTCCATTGGAAAGACGACATGCTTTTTCCATGGGTTCCAGTTTTACCTAACAAAGAAAGTCAAAAGCACTTCATAAAACTACATATTTCTCCATACCTGAGTTATATGAACCTACTTTGATGCATTTTTTGTTTAATGATGATACCTTTGGTAAGGAAAAATTGGTTGATATTGACAACGATTATTTTCCACATTCTTCGTCGTCGACGGAAGATATAGAAAATGAATCTGCCAGCCAGATAGAATCAAGGAAACGCATTGCAATCAGTCGACTTCCCCTGGTAAAAAAAAAAAGTTTTTCAATGATTTTATATTAAATGGTAAAAGTTTAATATTTTTTTGTATTAGCCACTTTTCACAAGTGAAAACTTTAGTAACAAAATCGGCGGACATCTCTAATGAGCCGCAATTATTGGAAAACGTTATGGCGCAGTATCGCTGTAAACGCGAAAAAACTCTGAAAGATGAATCAAAAATCATTGAGGAACAATGGTTCAATACGATTGCGCTACTTGAATTACGTAAGAAGTTCCTTTCCGATGATGCTTATTTTTTAATTAATTAGATTAATTATTAATTAAACTTTTATTGTCATCACCTAGCCAAAACATTGATCAAAAGCACGTTGCAAGCTCTTCAAGGTTCACGAAAAGTAGGAATCATTGTAGGACAGATTAGTGATGTTCATTCAACCAAGAAAGTTCTTACTTTAAGAGATCATACAGGTAATCATACTTTTGGCATATTTAAAATAATATAATGCCAATCACAATTTATCAATCTATACATTTAAGGCAAAATCAAGGCTTTTATTCCAAGAGAAAGTCACATACTTTATTATAATGATGTTAAAAAGGATGTTCTTCAACCTAGATCACATTCCAATTTTCTGAAGGGTTACCAACTTTTATCACAATTACACTTAATAACATTTATATGCTATACGTGGATGAACTCAATAAAGTTCTTGGATACGGGGCGAATATTCATATTGTATAGCTAAACTACTTAGATTAGGATACGAAATAAATAATTTACTTAATAATACAATGTATCCAGAAAATGGAAGTTCAAATGTTGAATATTATATTAGAAGTAATAATTAGAAGTATTAAAAGTGTTGGAATAAAAAAATAAATGTATAGCTCAAAATAATTCATATATATCTCATTGTTGTGCCAATATCTAATCTACCCTCCTATTTATTGTCTTTTTCCGCACCTTCCTTGGGTGTGGCGGAATCTCTATATTGTTAAGCGTTCGGTTAAATGTTTTCATAGTATCTGAGCTCTCTTCATGGTGCATAGTATCGTTTCCTATAAAATAGATAAAATGTGTTAGCTTTAATATGTGACAATAGCAAAATATGTAGAGGTATTGGAAATTCATTGGCATTAAAAAAAAAATTTTTTTTTTCGATTTTATGATTACACGGTCTATTGGACCGATATTTGTTATTTTTAACCGACAATTACTTCCGCTCAATATTTCAAATTATAATATAAGAAATTTTATATTTCAAAGAACTGCGCATATCATCTAATTAAAAAACCATCCGACAAAACGTTGAAATTGGAGACTTTTGAAGCTGGTGTCATTTCATCGGTTATGCTCGCAAATTTGCACATTTATATGGCCTTGGCTAAGAACTATTATTCTTAAACCATGGGTCTCTCGAGTTCATTGTGTCTACACAGTCCATCTGTACATAGGATACTTACTTAATTCATTGATGAAGTCTTCTAGTTTCTGCAATTTTATGAAGAATATACCATTCTTTTCGTGTGTATTTTGGAGTTCTTCTAAAATTTCTTGTCTTTCTTCTTCTGCATGTTCAGCAAGGCTTGCTTTATCTTGTTCAAGTTTCGCTATATCCTGTAAGTATAACATCAAATTCTCACGGAGTTAATTATCTACTTATTAGATTAGATAGGTCAATGTCCCTCATCCAATCAACCTTTAGAACTAACACTGAGTTCAATGCTGATCGACATAAAGATATCGGTCCAACATAGTCCAAATGGTCTGAACATGTATACCTGCTCTAATCCAATGACGTGATCATGCAAATATTCCAATTGGGTCTCAAGTTGTTGAAACTTTGAATTTGATACATCGGTAGGAGAGCCACTGTTCAATCCGGATCGTTTATTAATCTACAAAGTTCTGAAACACGTTATTTCTTTCTCACGCGACAATAATTTTTGTTCGAGGGTCGAAATCTAATTTAAATGGAAATTCTTTAAACCCCATTTTTTTTCCTGAAATAATGATCAATCGCTAAAAATCACATTTTCCTGAAGATAATTTTCTTTTTCTGACAATACTTTATTTGATCGTTCAAGCTCTTCAATTCTCATCTGATTGAGTTGTTCACTATATGAGGATCTAGTGGTACGAACGTGTCGAATTTGTCTGCCATAGGATCTTATAAAACAAACTAATGTATAAATTAAAAACCTTCATTTCAAAATCATTTATTAAAGATGATAATAACGAATGTAACTAACCTAAAGGTTCTAAACCAAGGTATTCAAGAACGGGTTCTCATACATTTTCTCCAATATCTTTGAAATGAAATGTTTAAATCATTGACCTTTTATAGAAACATTGGCATATACGATCCATACCTTTTCCTACTGCAATGCAAATCTCCACAAAAATTCAATAATTCCTCGATTTTTTACTTTTGCTTTCAAATTTTGATTCTAGTTGTTGAAATCAAAGTTTATACTGCGAATTTAAAAATTTCAACTCAGAGATTTCTCTCTCGTACTTTCGAAGAATGTTCTTGGTTTTCACATCTTCCTTATCATGAATGTCAGCCGCGTTAATTAATTCAATATTAAGTTAATTATTTTCCTTGGTGAGAGCGACAAGTGTACGTCGAAGGGGTTCGACCTAAAAAAAAAATTTGAAATATTTACCAACCTGATAGCTTTTAAAAGAAAAGGGCACGCATAATACAAAACTAACCTGGCACTGTATCCCCATTTTTCTCTTTCAACCTTTTGATATTTTGATTTTAATAATTGACAATTCTTTGATGGTACGCCGAGGAAGTTTCTGTTTCCTTATTTCCAGTTTCCTGATTTCCAGTCATTTGAATCATAATGACATTATAGTGTAAGTATTGGGAATTTTTCGCTCTGAACTTTCTAACGGTTTCCGTTACCTAGTTTATTACTAAATTGTATGTCAAATGACGTGTAACAAGGAATTTGCGAAATGCTAGAAACTTTGAAGTAACTAAGAGAATAATCAATCATATTCATTGAATTTGAATTGATGTAGTTTTATCAGTTTTATTTATTTTATTTTTGATGTGGTTTCTCGTCAAAATCATTGTCTTGGAGGTTCATAAAAAAAAAATTTTTTTTTTATTTTTTTTTTCATAAATCGCATATCATTTATATGCTGATTTAAATAAATGAATAATTTATTTAATTGCGCGCGTTTTGATACGTTTACAAGGTGCAGCAGATGAGATGGAATATTTTTTATTTAAAAATAAATAAATAAGAATATATGGTAAACATTTTTTTTTTTTGCACGACAGATATTTAAATATATATATTTTTTTGGTCTACCAGTATGCAGATTAGTTGATAATAATCATTATATTGAATATAGAGAAAATAGAGAGCCTTGTTTGTGGTATCAATAACAGCAAAAAAAATTGAAAGACTTTACAGAATCTCCTCAATCAAATTATTGGTATAACATTCTATTATATTGTAACAAAAGTCGCTGAACATGTTTCAAAGAATTTCATACTTTTGTTGAGAAAAAATAAATTGATCATATTAAACTTAAAAATTATACTAATGAATTTGAAAATTAAAAGTATGTAATTTTGATGAATTTTATAAATTTCTCTTAAGGTATAAATAGCTAAATTTATATTTTGTAGGAAATTTACAGGTTTAAAGGAAAAATTTTATCATTTTTAAATTTATAAATAATTGAATTACTTTAGCTATAGTAAAAATTTATTTGTACTTATTTGGATAAAAAAAATATATATTACGAATATAAAATTCAAATTTAGGCTATTCAAAAATATAAAATTTGTAATAGTTTATCTTACCCGTTAAGTTTTTCAATGTGACATAAAAATTCAGAATTTTTGCGAACAAATATGCTTGCAAAGGTCACAGATGAAGGGATAGCTCTATTTCTTCAAATATGCCTTCCATTAGTCAAAATCAAAATATTGAACATATGATAAATCATTCATCAATCAGACATAATTATCAATCAGCCATAAATCAACCTAAATCAACCTGTCTAATCTATGATCAATTGAAGTTAAGCCAAAATTTCAATTCTAATTGGTTTAATCGGATAATGCAAAAATCATTTGATTGAAAACTTTGTTTTAAAGGAATGATAGAAATTATTCTTAAAAGATAATACAAATCATCTTTAAAAAATGATAAAGATAATTGTTTCATTTGAAATGATACATTATCATTCAATAAGAATGATTTAAAAAAGTCATCACTTTGGGATGATATATCATTGCTCTTATTGAACAATCAAAAAAATTGTTTTAAAGGAATGATAAATCATTGTTTAATGATTTATAAATTAATTCTAAAGGAATGATAGATATCATTCTTTTTGAATAATTAAAAAATTGTCTTAAAGAAATAATAGATTTATTATTCAATAAGAATGATTAAAAATCATCTCAAAGGAACAATACATCATCATTCTTATTGAACGATAAAAAGAAAATTCATCTCAAAGGATAATATATTATCATTCTAATTGAACTATTTAAAAAAAGACATCATTCTTTTGAGACAATACATCATCATTTTTATTGAATAATTTATAAAATCCTTCCAAAAGGATGATAAATCATCATTTTTTAGAATAATAATTGTTTAATAAAATGATAAAAGATTGTTCCTTTAAAAAGATAATCATTTGATTAGAATGATAAAAAGTCATTCCTTTGGAATAATTATTGTTCGATTAGAATGATTTAATATCATTTCAATTAGACAATACAAAACTATTCAATTGGCTAATAAATATCAAATTAATTGATTAATATTTTCTATTTCAATATAAAACTAATAAACTTTCAGATTTATCCGAAATTTCTTTTTCTTTTTTAACTTTTTTCATTTCTTTTTTTTTATTAAAAATGTTCTTATATTGAAAATAATTTTTATTATTTTTTTTTTTTTGTTTTTTTTTAGGAAAATTCTTATTTCAGAAATTGAAAGTAAGTTTTTAGATGAATTTTCCTTTTTTTCTTTTTTTTTAGGAAAATTCTCATTTTAAAATAAGATAAGTAAATCAAAAGTAATTTTATTAGCAGAAATTTATCTTTTACCTTTCATATTTCTTATTATTTTGGAAAATTTTTATTTAGGAATTAAGATAAATAAATCAAAGGTAACTTTTTGATGGTTTTAACTCTTTTTTCTTTATATTTTTTAAAAAAATTCTTTTTTTGAAACTAAATGTACTTTCTTTAGAAATATATTAAGATATATAAATCAAAGGTGATTTTTTTTGGTTTTTTTATCTGTTTTCTTTATTTTTTCTTTATTTTTTTAGGAATATATTAAGGTAAGTAAATTAGAGGTAACTTTTTGTGTAGATTTTTTTACTATTTTCCTTTTTTTTTTTCTTATTATTTTAGAAAAATTTACATTTTAAAATTAAGATAAGTAAATCAAAATTGATGTTTTAAATAAAAATTTTCTATTTTTCTTTCTTTTTTCTTTATTTTTTTAGGAAATTATTATTTTGATAAGTAAATCAAAAATGACTTTTTAGATGAAAATTTATCATTTTTTTTTTTTTTTTTTAGGAAATAATCATCTTTGATAAGTAAATCAAAAATAATTTTGTATTTTTTACAATTTTTTTTCTTTTTTCTTGTATTTTAGGAAAATTATCATTTTGAAATTAAGGTAATTAAATTAGAAGTGACTTTAGAGTGAAAATTTACTATTTTTTTTTTATTTTTTTAGGAAATAATCATCTTTGATAAGTAAATCAAAAATAATTTTGTGTATTTTTTACAATTTTTCTTGTATTTTAGGAAAATTATCAATTTAAGTAAATTGGAGGTGATTTTATTGGTAAATTTTTTACAATTTTTCTTTTTTTTCTTGTATTTTATGAAAATTATAATTTTAGAATTAAGGTAAATAAATTGAAAAAAACTTTTATGTGGATTTTCTTTATATTCTTTAGAAATATACTATAATAAGTCAATTGAAAGTAATTTTAAGATAGAATTTTTAATTTATTCATTTTTTTACTTTATTTTTTTATAAATATATTTTATATAAGTCAATTAAAGATGGACTTTTGAAATAGATTTTTTAATTATCCTTTATTTTTTCTTATTTTTTTTTAAAATAATCATATTCAATAATTTTGTAAAAATAATAAAATAATAAAAATTATAAAATTAATAAAATTTAAATAAATATAATTAGTTATTGTTAATTTTGATTTGCTTAGCTGATTTTAGGCGGATTTAAGTTGATTAATGATCAAATTTAGATAGATTTTAGGCTAATTTTAGATAACTGATTAATAACTAATTAATATTCTGATTGATTCATATTGTATCAATCAGAATTAATGTAAATCAACCATAAATTATCTATCAATCATTCATCTGATTTTTAGCTTATTTGTATTCATTTTAACTAGTATTCAAAAATAATGTCAAAAGAGAATAGTCAAATTGATAATAAACTAATAGTACTAGAATGAAGGAAAGAATTTGATAAAATCTTAAAAAATGATAAGAACTCTAGAATTAAGTTTTGTTCCTTTAAATAGAACTTTAAGAACTATAGATTCAAGTTTTATTCCTTTAAATAAAACATGAAGAATACTAGATTTAAAAGCACATAATCCATTTAATAATATTTCTTTAAGTACTTTAACAAGAGTAACACCTTTAGGATTAAGGGATAATAAGTTAAATATTCTTAATAATACTCAAAATACATGAATTTTGATACAATCATTCTCTCTCTATTTAACAAAATGATAATTTATCAGCTTTATTAGTGACTATGCAAAAATCTAAATATTTTATAACTGGTAAATAGTATGTATGTATTTATCAATATAAACTTCAGTTATTGAAGAGTCACGATTTATACCTTCTGTCTCACCTGAATTATTTAGATTATTAACTATACCAAATCTCTTAAATCAGATAAAAACTTGCTGTAACTTTTTGAAAGTAATAGAGTGTTTTTCTATGTATTCAAGATCTGCTAAAAATGTTCTTGCAGAGTTGATATGAAAAGTTTTCAAATGTGATATCAACTCTCTAAGAATATAGATTAGCTTTATGTAACAAATAAAAACTTTAGTAACTTCTAAAATAAATTAGTCAATAGTATTGAGAATTTGATCAAAGATTCTAAAAAAAAGATCTTTATGAGTATTATTACATTTTATTACATTTTTTATATTTAATAATCTTTTTATATTAATTATAGGTCTATTACAAATTCTTTACAAAAAGAAAAAATTATCATTTTTATAAATAAGACTACAACATTTTATTTGTTAAGTCTATAGTTAAATACACTAATATAAATAAGTTATAAGCTCAAAATTCTATAGCT